AGTAACTATGTTGGAGTTGAGTCTGTAAAGAAAGGTGGAATAGGAAGTTATAACAAAGAAAAAACAATAAATTTTTGTGTGGTTCAGTTCCGGTTATGACAGAACAGTATGTGGCTGTGGGAGTAGGTAACTAAGGTGGAATGAAGGTGAAGGTTATTTGATTCAAAGTCAACGAACCGTGAAGCTGAAATGTTGGGAAGATCATTTGCATGGACACTGCTGTAACTGAGGTGTTGGCAAGATATGATGCAGAGTTCCAATGTCCTCAGTGAATCTTGATGAGTTTCCAAGGATAGACAGCAAAGATATGAGAAGATAAAAAAAAAATAGAGGGTAGTGTAGCTAGATAGTATGAATAAAGGAGAAAGGGTTTACACAAGGAAGGAGGAATAATGGTTTGGAAATAGGGTTGAAGATAGCTTTTATGTTGTGTTCAGAAAAGCAAGGGATAGTCAAACTCATGAGAAAAACTGTAGCAAAATGCAATCAGAAAAGTGTCTTTGATCTTAGCCTAACAAATTCAGCTTTTAGCAGTAGTTTGGCTAATGAGGTTCTTTCTGTAGCTCACAGATTATTTGTAAACATACTTAAGGCAGTTTTTTTCTGTGGCACCTGATTAAATAGAAGATGCATTTGATTTCTGTATATTATCGTTTCTTCTTTTTGAGATGGAATGTCGCTGTGTCACCCAAGCTGGAGTGCAGTGGCATGATCTCAGCTTACTGCAACCTCAGCCTAGCAGGTTCAAGTGATTCTCCTGCCTCAGTCTCCTGAGTAGCTGGGATTAAAGATGCCTGCTACCACGCCTGGCCAATTTTTTGTGGTTTTTAGTAGAGATGGTGTTTTGCCATGTTGGCCAGGCTGGTCACGAACTCCTGACCCGAGATGATCCACCCACCTCAGCCTCCCAGAGTGCTGGGATTACAAGTGTGAGCCACTGCACCTGGCCTGTGTTATCTATTAAATTAAATCTGATTTCCTTCTTAAAGTAGGATTTATTTTTGATTTTATATTTACCTTCTCAAAGAAGGGGCTTATATTCTGTTCCACATTAGCAGTGGGAAGCTTGGTATAGGGCAGTGCTTACATCTAGTTGTTAAGGTGGAATATGGAAATGTATTCAGAGGAAGCAGTGACCTGGTTTGTTGGTGGAGAGCTAGGATATGATTAAGGTAAGAAGACAGAGAAATCATACTTTGTAGAACATGAAGGTATACCTTTAGGTTACCACAGAACAGAGGTTCTGGATACTGCAATTGAGAGATTTGGAAAGGACAGGATCAATGAAAGGGGACAAGCAGAGAGACAAGGAAGAAAAAGTGACTAAACGGGCTTACATATTGGGAGGTGACTAAGGGTAACAGGAATGTGAAATATGGTAGAATTAGCTAAACATGAGTTTCTGAGGCCTGTAGTAACTAGTTATTGCCTTATTGTATAGCTTGATTACCCAGCCTAGTCTAATAAATGAATAGTATTTTTAATGTCTATTAAAATATTTTCATATTTTCAGTGTGTTTTGTTTGGTCCTGGTCAGTTATGCCTATCAGCAAACAACTTCTTTTCATCGAAGAATTTTTTTTTTTTTTTTTT